AGGCATCCCCTCCTTCGATCATGACATTTCGAGATTTCACCTGATAATTGACATGCATCCTCACTACTAGAACGCACTCTTATCAGTCTCCCTAAAACCCGAGTTTTCTAACTTGTAACCTTTAAGTTGCTATAAGCATGTTCTATATCTCTGATAACTATCATGTGACGAACGCAAGTTCACTACTTATTTTTTGTTTCATAAGTAGGATTCAAGAGACTATCATTGTATCTTATATAAAAGCTGTATTCACCTTAATTCATAACCTTGCAAGGCAATGTAAAATTCACTGGAAACGTAAGGCTTTCTCACATCATTGTGGGAGAATTTGACTACCAGTCCTTCATCACCTCAAACGAAATAAAGTGTACTCATATAAATCTTAGTACGTTTTCACTCGAAGGGCTGTCAGCATTAACGCAAAAGGAATACAAAACAGCTAGTCAAGGAAAGCCCTCTATCATCTTCCAATGGTATCATCCTAAAAATCTAGTCATACACGTAAATGCAAAGAGTAACTTGGGTTCGATGAATCTCCTGAGATAACATTGTTAGGGAGGCTTTCATTACGTAGGAAAGCGCCTGAAGAAGACATTCGTAGATTGATCCCACCAGAAGACAAATGCTGGATCCCGTTGTACTGCAGTCGTTTGGCTTTACTACGACGTTCAGGTTTACGCAGTCCACAAGACATCCTTCCTCCGCCCATTTTCACCCGAAGGGAGGGAGGATGTCTCGTGGATTGCGTCAACCTGAACGTTGTAGTAAAGTCAAACGGCTGCAGTACAACGGAATTCATCCGTCGTCTTCTGGTGAGATCAGCCTACGAATCTCTTCTTCATGCACTTTCATACAAGATGAAGGTCTTCCCAACATTAATTATACACGAATTGAAAGTCAGCTCGGTTATTATTTTCTCTGATCGTCATTAGTAACTGGCTCTGGTTATCAACTGAGGCTAATTCTTATTATCTATATTTCCAATAATAAATCGTTTTATTTAATACTTGTTTTTTTATAAAGGCCATAATACAATGCAATATCCTATCATACCTCCAAACTTAATAAAGTAATTTATAAAATTTATATTTGCTGCATTTTTCTTAAGCTTCCTCGACTCTACTCTCTCAACCGATCTCGCCAGCGCTGCGAGGTGGAAAATTTGCTTGTCTCATTGCCCAATCTGCTTTACGACTGTATCCAAATAGAGGCTGAGCTCATTGAAGCCCTTGGTACGAATTCCGTCACCAAAAAACAAAGTAGTCACTGTAACAAGCCTCCAACAGCTACTAAGGATGATAATTATATTAGTTCATCCAATGTTAATTGTTCCAGGCTCTCAGGCCCCAATTCTAATAGCATCCAAAGTTCTCTTAAAGTTGAGGCAGATGGCCGACCAGATGATACTTTAGATTCTTGCATTAGATCGAATCGTCTGGCCCAGAAGCGTATAGCGCACGTGCCCTCTTCACGACGTCATAAAGCTGGAGCTCGCCGATCGGCGCGCCACAAAGTTGGGCCTACTCAGCCACATGACTCAGGCTGTTGTCCAAATGCTGATAGCAGAGGCCAGTCTAAATTAGCTTCCTTCATACAGCAGGATATGGCGACCTCAGATGTTTCTACTGCTAATTCACGGATCAAGGAAGAGCTCTTGGATCTTGAAAACATAACTTGTGGCGGCGATCGCCTTCCGAAACCACCTACTCAGGGCCTGTATCTGCGTCTTTCTTCCTATATCTCGTACTTCTACCTTCATCTGGCCTGGGATTATCTTGTATCTGGCTTCCAGCTTGACCTTTATGCGCCACATGAATGGACATATATGTATGCTTTTCTTGAACAAATATTGCACAAACTTCTTTTCCCACTTTGCCAACTAGCTGACTCTTCACAGCCCGTTCAAAGTCCTTCTCCACTGGAAGCCCCCAAAATAACCTCAGCAGGTTGGTGGAAATGAGTCATTATAAAGAGTTTATTCATCCTTTTCTCAGGCACATTTTTGAAACAGCTACTTTTCAGCTGAGCAATGCTAATCATTGCATCAAAGGGATTATGAGACCTATTTTTCCTTGATAAATAGACCTTAGGGACTACCAGTTGAATTATGAAGAAAAATTGGGTTTCGAAGAATTCCTTAGTGATATATTGTGACATGACTTTCCATTTCGAAGGAAGAGTTGGTGGAATGAATTCTTGATGTGATCTCACCGGAAATCGAGAGGATTGCCGTGTAAGGAAGACTGTTGCTCTGTGCAAAGAAGTCCTCGGCTCACCGTCCTTCGACCTTGATGAGACTGTGCCTAGCCTTCGTATGTACTGTGACAGATATACTCCATGAAATATAGCAAAAATATATTAAATTAAGAGAAAAGTTGGCCGGCTGCAATCCCAGTCGCTTTGTTATCCACCACATTTCGCGATCTTAATGAGGCATCTCATGATTTGGTTGGCTACTTCATCTTTACTTTGCATGTTTGCAAATGAGTGAAATTGCTTCCCGAATCAGAAGTACGTTCGGAGGCAGGTGTTTACTTGCACACAAACTAGTATACGATCCTCTAATGTTGAATCATGTTTGAGCTTGTACTATTGTCTATTGTGTGTATGTGATGTCCATGTCATGGGAAATGTGATAATCCTGGCTGGACTTAGGCTAATCCAGCCTGCTCTTGTTCAATAGCTCTTACTGTATTCCCTCTCCTCTCTCCTTAAGCCTATCCAACAGACAAAAATAGTTCCTACTCAATTTTATGCACTCGTTCCGCCTATTCAGGATGTTGGCTTTTTTGTTAATTTCTGTAGACTCCCTAATTTTGCACTTTGATGTTAAGCCCCCGTGGCCTGTAAAACGTGTTTTGGATCAGTTTTTTGAAAGTCCTGTATTCGCCATGTGTTCAGCGAGCTCAGATTTCTGGACCCAAAACCTTTGCAGACGGTTTTGTGTTCGCATAGTCTCTTCTGGATGGGTCAGCAGGTCTCTCCCACATAGACCTTACCACATGAACACAAAGCCTTGTAGCAGTCTGATCTAGAGAGAGGTTCTGAAAATTCTCAAATCGAAGAAACTACTGAAGAAAGGATTGATTTCTCTTGTTCATTATTTTTATGTTCCGTTTCCCCAGTATATCACCCAACATTTTCGCAAACTGACAGGAAGGCGATATCAGTAAACTCGTAGAATGGTCAAATTGTCTATCTCGCCCCAGATAGCAAACTCCTCTCATCTTATTACTGACAATTGCTATGTAATTGTCTACTAATCCTAATGGGTAATTGTTTTGAAGCAGTATATGCCTCAATCTATCGATCTCC